TGGGCCTGGCCGCGCTGTGCGGGAACGCCATGCCCCGAGAGCCGGTAAGCCCCCTGCCTGCGCCTTTCCCTCGGTTCCCCGTCCCTTGCGCCCGGGTCCTGACTGTCCGACCCGCCAGCCCAGACTTCTCCAAAAGCGCTCGCGGACCGCTGGCTGGAGGGAGGCATCTCGCGCCTTGGTCAGCTCCGATGGGCCTCAGCCCGCAGCTAGCGGGAAGAGGAGTGGGGCTGAACCAGGCACGTGGCGATCAGGTCCACCTGCGCCAGGTACCAGCCGGTGCTCTCCATCCAGTCATTTGTGCTCACGAGCCCCGTGTCCTCGTCGGTAAAAGGAAGGGCAGTCCCTCACTCCCCGGGGCTCACACCGGACCACACCGCTTGCGGTGCAGGGGCGCGGAGCCTGGCACCCAGTGGGCGCTCTTTGTCCTTGGGGTCTGCTGGCACATTAGGGTGCCTTTTCTGCCTGGTTGATTCCTGATGACAGGTTTCCTTTCTTCCCTAGTGATTAGGGGAATCTTCTGGGTCTCTGAAGAGGAAAAGCTCGTTCCCCACCCTAGCGTTCAAATTAATCCCTGCCCTGTCAGCATAGCGTATAGATACAGCATATAGCATAGCGTATAGATATAGCATATCACATATCACATAGATATAGCAAAGCAAGGAGGGCCAGGGCTGGTTAAAGCCTCCGCATCCCACATGGCTGACTGCTTGGTTTGAGTCTGCCACCTGCTGGCATGAAAAACACCAGGTGCAAGTGTGTGTTTGCTCTAGATCCTGAGAAGAGAATGGAGGAAGAGGGATTGCTGTGTGGTCATCCCTCCTCCGAGGTACTTTCTCAGTCTCGCTCTCTTCCCTCCCCTCTCTGGAAAGCACGCGTCCTATAGCAAATTAAAAAGTAAATTGTGGGTGGTCGGGAAAGTCCTGACGAATTTTTGCGTAGAAAAACACATCATGGCTTTCCCGACCGCCTAATAAATGAAAGCGCGGAGGTGTTACTTCTTGGGCTATGGAAGGACATGCCTCATTCCTTGGTCCCTGATGTCTTCAGCCACCAGCCTTGACCGGTCTCAGTTCCCAGGCCCCGTTGGCTCGTCCCACTGGAAAAAGAACCCAGTCCCTTTGAGGTGGCTGCTCTAAGGCTCACAGTCTAACCCTGTCAAGTTTGGAACAGTTGCTTTGCGTCTTCCTAAAGCTTGTTTCATTAGCTCTTCTGCAAGAGCTCGGCTCCTTGTTTAAAATAACGTCCGATGGAATCCCTTAGAGTTCAGTTTTACAAAGACAAATGAGTGACTACAACTTTGCCCAAACCCAGATTACTGGCATCAAAAGACTTCTCAGGACTAGCAGTTAGCGTAATGGCTACATCGCTGGACTCCCTTGTAGTCGGCCACAGTTCGAGTCTGGACCTGGTGGCTTAAATTCACATCGGGACATATGCATGCGTGCCCAAGATCCTGAGAGGAGAATAGAGGAGAAGAGATTGCGACGTGGCCAACCCCCCTGGGGGATGATTTCTTGCTTTCTGTCTCTCTGTCTTTCTGGGGAGCGCACACACCCTATAGGAAAAATCTTCTTAAAATAAATAAATAAATAAGAGAGAGAAAGAAAAAGAAAAAAACAAAAAAACAAAAACCCCCTGCCTTCTGTTTACAAGGAGTTCGGGAACATTGAGGCTTAGAGGGATTGCTTTCGGAGTCATGTTACTGGAACTTGCTTCTGCCTAAAGTTAAATATTTGGGGTCTCAGTATATTCTTTCAAAAATGCTTTAATGATTTTTTTCTTATGAAAAGATATAAGTGGCTAACTTGAAAAGGTCAGTACAGCCTTTCCTAGGCACTGATAGTACTTTTTAAAAGAAGATAGCATGATGAAATCAAGTGCTGACGGTTTTCTACCCAGCTCACCTTTGCTTTGAAAGTTTCTCACTTGGGTATGCAATTAAGTAAAAAAGACGGTGTTTTGTCTCATTTGGCAAAGAAAGGCTTATGTTTTGCTGGCTTCAACATGACCCTTGGTTTCTTTCTCTCCTGCAGACTGTTCAGTGTGAGCCTGAACCCGGTAGGTGCACTTGGGGACTGGGGACTTTACATTGAAAGCACAGTTGGACTTTAAGGAGCCCAGATCCAGGCAAAAGATCATTGCTGACCGGGCACGGGTGAACCATTGCTTTGTTAGCCGATGCAAATAAAGAGGCAGAACTGGGGGGAGGAGAGGCAGAGGGATAAAATGGGCTGGCCTCCTGGCCAGTCAGGAGGCCCCGGGAAGGGTGCGCCTCACCATGTAGACTCACCATGTAAAGTAGAAAGTGATGCCTGCTGATGGCGGAGGGAGCTAAGTGCCACAGGAGAGAGGTCTGTTGCAGCTGGGCCCAGGAAGCAAGTGTTTTATAGAAGAGTGAGTGGGATGAGACCTGGAAGCATTTGAAGAATGGGTGGGCTTCTGCCCCAGAAATGTGGACAGGGAGGATGAACTGGAGGAAAATGGTACTAGCAAAATCTACACACATGCGCACATGCACACAGCCTCCGGGAGTGGCCTCAGCACCCTATAGACTGGGACCAGGAAGTGGTGGAGAGTATGCATCTCGGGTCAGCATCACCTCGGCTATAAACCAAGGAACGACTGGCCTGAGTCTGCAGGACGCACTGATGAGCCGTGGGGGAGGGATGGGCTAGGGAGGGTCACGTGGGGGAAAGGCATCAGACTAGGCTGGGAAATCTTTCATGGGAAATCTTTCCTTTTCCCAGGGCCATCTCCAGAGTGGTTTGTCAAACACAATCTGACCCCAGGAGACTTGAGGGACCTCCAAGTAAAACTTGTTAAAACCAGTTTTGGAGGGGAGGACTATTCCATTGTGATGAATGTGAGCTGGATCCTGCGGGCAGATGGTAAGCTTGTATCTATGCAAGAAAAGGCTGAAAGGGTCTACTAAAGCAGCAATGTGCAGACTGCATGAGGCGTTCATTCCACTCCTGGGCGTGCCTGACAGAAACACATGGATACATGCACTAAGAGCCACATGCAAGGATTTCCTAACAGCGCTGTTCCTACAACCACAACTCAGAAAGCAGTCGATGGTAAAATAAAATCCGACAGAGCACCGAGAAGGGATGGTCTGTAACTGTATGAATGAATGTTACCAACGTAAGGGGCCAGATTGAAGAGCTCATAGTTCACACCTGTGTGCATGCCTATGCTTGCCCATACCATCTGATTTCATTTACAAAAAGTGCAACAGGCACAAACGAATCTACTGGTTAGAAGTCAAAATAGTGGGGACAACCCATGATGCAGTGGTGGAGGCTGTGGGATCTCACATGGTGAGATCTCACTGTGCTATTTGAGTCCCAAGCCGGGTAGCTTGAAAACACACAGGTGCATGTCTGTGTGTGGCCAGGATCCCAAAAGAAGGGAAAAAGGACTGTGGTGGGTCCATCTTCTGAGCAGGGAGGTGATTTCTCACTTTCCCTCTCTCTCCAGTGAGCACATACAACCTTTGACGATATTTGAGAAAGGAAGAAAGAAAGAAACCAGCAGATGGCAGAATGGCTACATTGCTGGACTCCCATGTAGTTGACTAGGGTGCTAGTTTCGGACTCAATGGCTTGAAACATGCTGTGTGTGTGTGTGTGTGTGTGTGTGTATGCGCACGTGCGTGCCCCAAATCCTGAGAGAGTGGGTGTTTCTTGGCCAAGTGTGCAGTTCATCAGGGCATACACATATCTGTGCTTTTCAGTATGGGAGAAATTGGGTGAGGCCAGAGAGGATCTCCCAGCTTAGCATGAGTGCCAACATAGGCACATTACTTTGCCACTTTCTGAGTGGAGAACCACGTCCCTCTTCTGTTATTCTGTCCCGCCAGCCTTGGGTATGTAGTTTGGTGCACGGGGGCTATAGAACACTGGTGAGGTGCCCCTTCATCTCTCAGTTAATATGGTGCCTACTGAGCTTCTCCATGTAAATCCACAGGACAGCCTGGCATTTCTCCACGGTCATGCTGCAAGACAACCCATGACTGCTTTCAGTGAGCTATGTCCGGGGTCCTAACGCCCACCCCTATCTGTAGTTTTTGCTAATTTCTGCTCGTCTGTTCTTATCTCTGAGTGGCAAGCACAGAGATAAGCTGGTGACAGTTCCCACCCAGTAGGGTGTCAGAGGGTGGAGGAGGCGGGGGAGGCAGGCACAGCATCGGTGGAATCTCTGAAGGGAATAGGGCACCCTCTGACTGGGATGGGGCAGGGAAGACCTGGGGAGGAGCCCTGGTGAAGCTACTAAAAGGCAGATGATGCAGTGTGGCTCTGGGCCCATCCCTGGCATGGGTGAGCTCTTGGTTAGCTGCCGCTATAGGCTGCAGGGCCTGAGGAGCAAGAAGACGTGGAGAGGGAGGGGAAGGGAAGAAAGAGCATTCCAGGAGAAGAATCAGCAGGGATAAAGGTGCAATCCGAGCAGCAGGACCTGGCAATGACACTCAGAGGGTCTTTGTGGGCTCTTCTCAAGAGGTCCAGAATCATCTCAAGTCTAGTGAAATTTGGGCTGACCTGTGAGGAAGGAGGTCAAGCTTTGGAATATGATCTCATCTTGGCTGTGGATGAGCTTTATAAGTGTAGGCAAAGCTCCCGAAACTCCCTAAGCCCCGCTCACCCCATCTGTAAATGGGGGACCCTGGCATCTCCCTTTTAGTGCTGTTGTGACTGTGACCTAAGATGAGGCATGGAGAGCGTCTGGCATCACAATAAGTGCCAATAAACAACTGCCTTCTCACCCACCTCGGCAGCCAGCATCTGCTCTTTGAAGGCCACCAAGATCTGCGTGACAGGCAAAAGCAACTTCCATTCCTACAGCTGCGTGAGGTGCGATTACACAGAGGCCTTCCGGAGTCAGACCAGACCCTCTGGGGGCAAAGTAAGTGCTCGCAGGCCCTGGCTGGCGCTGGACACTGGGCTCTTTGTCAGGAGCACGGATGATGGGTTGCACCAAGGGGCTGGTGAGCAGCGACGACATGGAGTCTGCAGCAGGATGCCTGGGTTCAAGCCCCACTTCCGACTGCTCCTTGGCTCTGTGCCTTGGGCAGGTCAGCAAGTCTCTTGGCCTTAGTTTCCTCATCAGCAAAGTGAAGGGGGCTGGAATTCAGTTATATCCCAGCTCTGCACCGTTAACACTTGTCTGCCTCTGTGAGCTACGGGTGCTCACCATGTGGGCCCACTCCCTACGCAGACATTGGCTAGAGGCGTAAGTTTCAGCAGCAGGATCAGGAATGAAACCATCCATGAAGAGGGAGACACGGGAAGGTGCAGTTTGGGCGCTGCGTGGCATTGCGGAAACTCAGGATTCTTGTTTTGCGTTTCAGTGGGCATTCTTCTACGCAGGCTTTCCCGTGGAGCTGAACACACACTACTTCATCGGGGCCCATAATATCCCCAATGCAAATATGAATGAAGATGGCCCTTCCATGTCTGTGAACTTCACCTCACCGGGTAAACCATGTCTCTCTCCTGTTATTCTGTCTTGCTGGGCCACTGGCCTTGGGGTATGTGGTTTGGTGCACAGAGGCTGGGGAACACTGGTGAGGTGCCCTGTCATCTCTTGGTTAAGATGGTGCCTACTGAGCTTCTCCATGTACATCCACTCTTCTCCTCTGTCTCCAACAAGTCACTAGGTCTGGAAACAACGTGGGTGGGGCAAGGGCCAGATAAAGCTTTATGACCTGGAAGGTGGACTTGCCAGACCTCTTTTCTTTCCCCTACTAGAGGGTACACGCACTTGCCAGAGAGAGAGAGAAAGGGAGAAGAGAAGGCACTTTCCTTAGAGAATGGTCACGTGACGATTCCCTGTGCTTCTTCTCTCCCTCCTGTTGGGATTTTGGACATGCACGCACATGCACCTGGTGTGTTTCTCAAGCAACCAGGTCTGGGACGCAAACCATGCCATTGGCCATGTGGGATCCAGCTGCCTTGCCACCAGGCTATGGAGCTGGCCTCAGACCTCATTTTAAAGGATGGTTGGCTTCTGAGTCTTTTCTCGGGGACTGTTTTGATGAAGGCTGTATTTAAATGAGACTCTGGTTATCTTCTCACGGCAATTGATCTTCTGCTGATGATCACAATGGTAGTGTCCTAGGCGTGGTGCTGAAGGCACTGGACTCTCACATGGCCGACTGCGGTTTGGGTCCCGGACCTGGCTTGCTTTCTCACTTTCCCTCTCCCTCTCTCTCTCTCTCTGGTAAGTGTGCATGTCCTGTAGCAAATTTAAAAAGAATCCTAATGATAAATAAAATTATTTTTTTTAAAAGATAGTGTCCTATTTAAATTTGCTGTCTTCTCTGGGCTGTTCTGACAACTCGTTACAGGTGTGGTATGTGTTTGTATGTATGTACTTGTGGGCAAGGGAGTGGAGCAGAGACGCCTTTTTCTGAAATGTAAAGATTTTCATCCATATTTCCAGGCTGCTCAGACCACATAATGAAGTACCAAAAAAAGTGCATCGAGGCAGGTAGGTAAATGCAGCATTTGCTTTTATTGAAGAAACGTGGCACTTCCATCTCTTCACAGATGAAGACACTGAGGCCTAGCGGGGTGAGTTCTATATCTGAGTCGCTCAGAAGGACCCAAGACTCCTGATCCCAGTCAGCCTTGCCTGGCTCGAGCAGCCTGTGGAGGGCAGGACGGACGCGGGGTAGTCTGTAGAGGAGCAGTGGTGGCCTAGACCCATCTTGGCCCAGGCTGCGCTACAGTAGCACTGACTGGAGGCCCTTCCCACTGGGTGGGAGTCTATAAGCACTTTCACCTGCTCTGGCACCAGCACCTGCCCTGTGGTCGTGGGGACTCTGAGAACCTTGTTTAGGTTAGCAGACATGCAGGGCGAGAGTGTTACCAAAAGAATGACCTAGGAGCGTGCTCTCAGCGGGGCTCCTCTCGCACATACTAGGTTAGGAGGCACCCCTTTCTCCTTTATCTGTCCCACGTGTCCAATTTCCAGATATATGTGAACTTGGGGATCATGGGTCTGAGGGTGCTAACGAGGCCTGTGGGATTGAGGGGGTCGATCCCTCTTTTAGGCACTGTTCACCCCTAAAGGCATCTTTGTGGGCCTTGTCCGACTGAGGCGCACGGGTGCTCTTGCTGGCACAGACTGGAGTACCAAGCTGGTCCTGCCTCTCACCAGGAGAGAGCTGTAGGAACTCGGGGGGTGCCGGGGGTGTGAGGAGGCCTAGGAGTTTGACGTCAGGCCTAGACCTCAGATTCCTAAAGACAGTTGTGAGCCAGGGTCTGCAGTGGGCGTCTGTATGGGAAGCATGATTCATGCCATTATAGATCATGTTCCTGGAAATCAACTGAGTCCTTATTTGCAAGTCACATCAATGAAACGAGTGGCTTTTTCTGTCAGCTGACCTATCAGGGTGTCCTCTAAACCCGGAAGCATTTCCTTCTTTCTTTCCACCCAGTAAAGCTGGCAGATGTTCTGAGAATGAAGTTCATGGACCCAGAATGTTCTAGTTGGTCTAGTCCTGCTCCTGAATTCACCACCTTTGTAATTGTAGACATGCCTCCTCACCTGTGTCTCCTTCTCCCCATCCTGAGAGGGAAAGAAAGACCCCAGCCTTTCACTCAAAAGGGAGGTTGAACATAAAGTGAGCAAGAGGACTCCTGTGTGCCTCTTGCCACTCTCAGCCCAAGGAAGCGATTCTTAGCGAAGTGGTGACATGAAGGTCTCTGCACTTCCCTGAGCAGCAGGTGCTTTGACTCCGGGAGCAATGATAGAAAGCATGCTGCGGGGCGGAGTCCCTGTCTCTCGGATGTGCGCTCAGAATGCAGACTGGTTTTTGTAAAGCCCTTCTGGGGACTTAAAGGAGGGAAGGGGCAGCAAGGCCAACCACATGATCCTCTCTCGGTTCGCAGGAAGTCTGTGGGATCCAAACATCACAGCTTGTAAGAAGAACGAGGAGGAGGTGGAAGTGAGTTTTACTCCTCACTCACCCGGAAAGAGATACATGGTTCTCATCCTACAGGACACCATCATTGGGGATACTATGCTGGAGGTACACCTTCCCTGTCACCCCCATCGGCAGCCCCCAGCTTCTCTACCTTGTGGAGGGGAGCTCTTTTGAGACAGCACAGGACCACGGTGTATTGTCCGATAGTGCTGGGCTGTTCTCAGTAACTCCATAGAGAAAAACAAGTCCCACGGGTCTACTGGCTACGTCACTGTGACTCTAAAACCAACCACAGGGACAGCTCAGGCACATGCAGAGAGGCCTTCGCACAGGCCTGATGGCTGAAAGTCGGTTTGGGAGGAGGGGCTTAGCTGCTGGCAGTCTGACTTCTTACTCGTTGGCCCTAACTCTGGCCTGTCTCACTTAGCTGCAGCAAGACACACTAACGCGGACCTCCACAGTGATCTCGGTGACCGGGGAGAGCGAAGGGGCTGTGGTCCAGGTAGGATGAATGAGGCGCTCTGAGGAGGGGAAGGACTCTGGAAGACCGGTTGGCCCACCATTCACTGCCTTTTCATGTAAATTTTTCCAGAGAGCATGGACACTTCCCAGAGGTGGGGTAGTGAGGAACACCCCCACGGGGCACAGTCCCACAATCCCTTCTCCTCCTTTCGGGATTTTGGGTGGGCACGCACACACGTCCAGCATGTTTCAAGCCGCCAAGCCTGGGCCTCGAAACACGGTCTACCACGAGGCATCCAGCTCCGTACCCACCCCACCACCAGCTGGCCTGTTAGCCGCTCTTGTTGAGTTCTTTTAAGGATGGGGTTTCAGGCAGTGTTCTCTCCCCTCAGATTCGCTTCTGTCCGCCATGTCCACCCTGCGACGTGAACAGGGCCTCCTTCACTGCGGTGTGGACAGGGTGCAGAGAGCAAGCTGATCTCCAGTCACTGTCCCTTTCGCTGATGTTAGTGGCTGCTGACTTCCCAGAGTGCTTTTCTTTCCATGTTCTGATGCAGAGCCTGAGATGACAGAGCCAGGAGTGCCACGTTATTTCCCCTGGCCTCCACTCTATGAAGCAGGCTGCAGGGCTAAAGTCTGGGCGGCAGAGCACTGAACTGTGACGAGTGACAGCCTGTCCTCTCAGGTCCAGGGCTCCACTAGGAAGCAAGAAGTGGAACTGGAAATGCTCTCAGGTCTCTTTTTTGAGAGATTTTTGCCATAGGGCACATGCACCCACCAGAGAGAGCGAGAAATCACTCAGGGGGAGATGACCATGCTGCTTATCCAGTCTCACTGGATTTTGGGCACGCATACACAAGAACCCGATGTGTTTCAAACTGCGGGGTCCGGGACTTGAACCACAGTCAACCACATGGGAGTCTAGCATCTTAGCCACTATGCCACCTGCTGGCTCCACCTCAGGTCTCTTTAACCTCTGCATTTATGATGTGGAAGCAGGGGATCCCAGTTGGACACGGCCACATCCAAGGGTAAGGTGCTTCTGCTCTTCCTCCCCAGAGCATGAAGGCAGAGCGTACACTGGAGGGAGTGACACCGCCAGCATACTGCAAAAGCACCTCTTTGAAAGGACTGTGGACTTTTTTTTTTGGAGAGATTTTCACTGTAGGGCGCGTGCCCTCGCCAGACAGAGAGAGACATAGAGACAGAAAGCGAGAAATCACCCCCCAGGGGGGATGGTCACGCCACAATCCCTTCTCCATTCTCCCCTCGGGATCTTGGGCACGCACGCACACGCACCCGGCGTGAGTTTTAAGCCACCAGGTCCGGGACACGAACCGCGGTCGACTACGTGGGAGTCCAGCGACATAGCCATTACGCTAACTGCTGGTTCCCGACTTTTTTTTTTTTTTTCCCGAGAGAGATTTTTGCTATAAGGGAATTTGTGCTTACTGGAAAAACAGAAACAGAAAGTGAGAAATCACCCCCAGGGGGGACGGCCATGCCGCAATCCCTTCTCCTCCATTCTCTTCTCAGGGTTTTGGACACACGCACCTGGTATAAGTTTGAGCCACCGGTTTGGGACTTGAACCACAGTCGACTACATGGGAGTCCAGCAACACAGCCATTATGCCATCTGCTGGTCCCACCGTGAACTTTCTTAACATGGGCTCATCTGCCTGGAAGGGCAGACTGCAGCAGTAGGAGCGACCGCTGTTCCTAGAGGGACGTTTGTTTACGTATTAGGGTGCAGCCTCCCTTTTAGATATGGACAGCCTGTCTGTAACACGTGCAGGTCACCCGCAGTCTCAGAGGTATTTCGACCATGAGCATTGGTTTGGATTTGGGGACTTGGTTATATTAGTGTGACCAAGGCAGGTTTGTGTCTGTGACAATGATGGGAGTAGGGCTGAAACCAGGAAAAATGGCCGAGGAGTTGTGTCACAAGCAGGGATGACGCAGAGCTGTGCTGTGGGGCGTGGCGCCAACATCCAGGTCTCTCGTCCCTGCAGCTGACCCCCTACTTCCCCACTTGTGGCAACGACTGCATCCGCCGCAGAGGTGCTGTCCTGCTCTGCCCACCCACAACCGCCCACCCTGCTCCAGGCAGCAGTAAGTACCCAGTCACTTCCCGGTGTGACCACACAGCTCTGGGCAGGGAGGGTCCAACCATCCCTGCCGCCAGTCCGTATGTGGCAGGTGTGTGTGGAGTGGGGAGGAGAGTGAGAGGTCCCTGCTGGCGTGTGCTGTGCTGAGGAGCACGGAAAGTCACCTAGGCTGGCCCAGAGCCCAGAGCCTGAGGAAGGATGAGGCTTTCCTTCCTTTGTGACACGGCCCTTTTGTAGAGCAGCGTATACAGAAGGGGGCACCAACATGCCTGAGGATGATGTCCAAAGAACACAGGGTCTGCAGGGAAAGCCAGCGGCAGCCAAGGCCGGGCACTGGCCTTCCACTGCATTTGCTGCTCGTATCTGTCCCGGCGGCCCTGACCCAGCTGTCACCGTGGCTTGACGTGGTCACAGGGCCAATATTTGCATAACAAATTAGGAACACGGGCACCGAAAGCCAAGTTGCATCAGTACCTGAGACAGCGTGTCCTGGGAAAGGCCGCTCTGCATGTAGACATGTGTCCGTTAGTTCATAGATAAGCAAATCAGGCTTCAGAAACTAGTTCAGGGGTGGGGTCAAGAGCTGGAAGGTGTTAGTCTTAGGCTTTCAGTCAAATGAACCGAAGTCAGCCCAGGTGCCTGCCAGTGCCTTCAGGACTCTTGAGCTCTCTGGGGCGCCCGTACTTCAGTCTAACAGCCTGGAGACTCCGCTGCCCACGGGCTCTGCGTATGTAAGCAAATGCAGCCAGAATAACAGTGATGCCTTGAAGAGTCAAAAACCCAATCTGAGCTCTGGTTGTCAGTGAAAATGCCCATGTGGATAAGGAGTAAGGAGATTTTAGAGGACCGTTTCCCCCCCGCCCCAGCTGCCAGAGGGGGGTGTACTTGCTAGAGACACAGGGAGGGGGGAGAGGGAGAAAGCACCCCCCAATGGAGCACGATCACACTGCAGTCCAATCTCATCCATATCTCCATCCTATCAGGATCTGGGGCATGCACGCATACACGCACCCGGCATGGTTTTCAAGCCACCAGGTGGGATTCAAACTGTGGTCGGCCGTGTGGAATCCAGCAACCCTAATCGCTAAGCCATGGAGCTGTCCCAAGGGCTGTTCTTAACCTAAGTCCCATATCCTTTTCCAGAATGTAATGAAAGACCTAGATACTACATCATCAGCAGACTCCCCAAAGATCTTCTGCCCTTTGACTTTAAAGGGAGATGAACTTCTACAAAGTAGAGAGAGAAAAAAAAATCTTAGTTCTCAAGTAGGAGATGAGCGAGTGTGGTTTGGTTTTGCCAAAGGTAAATGAGCTTTATTTTTTTCCAGACAGAAGCGTGCTTGGAGACTGGCTGTCTCTCCTCCTCCTGTCTCTGCTGGCGGCCGTGTGGGTGTTGGCGGTTGGGGTCTACCTAATGTGGAGGCACGGTAAGGGTTTCAATTCTTGAAGGTGTCCTAATGAGGAAGTGACATTCTGAATCTTTGAAAGGGAGATTACTCCAGGGGTGGCCACATGCTGGCACTTCCCAGAGTTTGGCTCACATCTGCAGGCTGCTGGGTAAAAACGGGGTCAGGACTTGAGACCTGGTGACTACCACCTGTTTTATTTTAACTCTGAGGCATCTACAGGTACTGAAATGGGCAAAAGGCTGATTTTTTTTAAAAATTGCATTTTACCTCTATGTTAGTTCTTACTTTTGAAAACCAGTTTCTTAAGAAAGAAGAATGACATTCACTTGGCTTCATGTGCTAAGGTCTTAGCCGACCCTAACGCACTGAGGGTTTGAATACAGAAATCAGAGTGTTTCTCGAGATGCACAACTAGAGACAGCCCGTTAGAAACCTCTGGTTCGCCTCGTCTCTGCAGGTAGGAAAGGAAACACAAACACACCCTGTAAGTCGCAGGCAGAACAGGATGAACTGCAAGTCCTTTCTAAGCTAAGAAAGCCACGTGAACTGCTGCCTGAGGAATGCTTCTGTTTGGGGATGCTGTCTGGCCCGTGTCCATGACGGTGGTTCATACACGGTTTCTGTTTACCAGTACGGTCTAAATCAGGTTCCAGGAAGTACCAGGGGCTGAAACAAGGCACCACTTAACTTGATGGAACTAGAAAGAGGCTCCACCTGCAGGCAGAAGAGGGTACAAGCAGTGATCGAGCCGACCGACTGCACATGTGATGTGACATGCAGAGGTCCACTGTCCCTGTCCACACACATCACAAAAAGTACTGAAGGCGCAACTCGCCCCGAACCAAGATCCTTAAACCTACACAGTATTTTTTTGCCTTAGGATGCATACCAGAGAGACAGACAGTGAGAGGGAAAATGAGAAATACCCCTGTGGGGATGGCCACACCACAATCTCTTTTCCTCTGTTTTCCCAGGATTTGGGGCATGTACACACATGCACCTGGCATGATTTGAGGCTGCTGGGTCTGGGATTTGAACCATGGTCAGCCAAGTGGGAGTCCAGCAATGTAACCATTACGCCATCTGCTGGCCCCAAACCTAAACCATTTCTACAAATTTATCAGAAAAGAGGCTTGATGGAGAGGACTGATTTAAAAGTAGGGATTCAGAAATGTACATCTTTGGAAATGTCCAAAAGGATATCAGGGAGACTTTTCCCATCTGTTCGGCATCCCAGGATGCTGGTGCTCACTCAGCTGCCCTGCCTAGAAGGGATCGTTTCTCAGTGATGCTTTGTACTAGAGTGAGGGCCTGTTGGCTGCCCACAGATAACTCATCCCTCTCTCCCCCGACAGAACGGATCAAGAAGGCGTCCTTTCCTTCTCCCACCCTGCTGCCCTCCATCAGGGTCCTGGTGGTTTACCCACCTGAGGTGTGTTTCCTTCACACCATTTGTCCCTTCACTGAATTCCTCCAAAACCACTGCAGAAGTGAGGTCATCCTTGAAAAGTGGCAGAGAAAGAAGATCGCCGACATGGGCCCGGTGCAGTGGCTCACCGCTCAGAAGCAAGCAGCGGACAGAGTCATCTTCCTTCTTTCCAATGAGGCCAGCGCCGTGTGTGAGGGCCCCTGCGGCAAGAGCGAGGGCAGCCCTGGTGAGAACTCTCAAGACCTGTTCCCCCTCGCCTTTAACCTTTTCTGCAGTGACCTAAGAAGCCAGGCTCAGCTGCACAAATACATGGTGGTCTACTTCAGAGAGGCTGACCCCCAAGACGACCACAGCGCACTCAGCGTCTGCCCCCAGTACCGCCTCATGGAGGACGCCACTGCTTTCTGCAAGGGACTTCATGTCAAGCAGCCTGTGTCAGCAGGGCGAAGGTCACCAGCCTGCCACAGCAGCTGCTGCTCCTTGTAGCCCACTCAAGAGAAGCAAGAGACCTTGAAGCCTTCCTGCCCCTCCTTCCAGGAGGACAAGCACGTGGGATGACCCTGCAGTATATGGGTCCTCGTAGGGAGGGTGACGAGCACACCACTTGAGCAATGGGAACTGAGCGTACATACCTTAGTCTGGTAATCAGACTTTTAGGCCGGTAAAATTGTTACAGGGCCAGCCCTGTAGCCCAATGGTCCAGTGCTGTACGGAGGAAACTGGATCCCACAGGACTGAACAGATTAAAGTCTTGGTCCTGAGGGCACAGAAGACTGCCAGCTTGTGTGTGCCCAGGATCCTAACAGGAGAGTTGGTGGAAAAAGGACCATGGCCTGACTAGGCCCCATTGGGGGATATTTCTAATTTCTTGCTTTCATGCCTTCTGACATTATATATATATGTGTGTGTGTGTGTGTGTGTATATATATATGAAGGCTAGTAGATGGCATGGTGGCTAAGGCACTGGACTCACACATAGTCAACCACAGTTCAAGTCCCAGATCCGGTAGCTTGAAACTCACACTGGGCACATGTGTGTCTGTGCCCAAAATCCCAAGAGGAGAATGGAGAAGGGAGTGTGCCATGGCCATCCTCCCAGGGGGCGATTTCTCCCTTTCTGTCTCTGTCTCTCTCGTGAATACACATACTCTATAGCAAAAAATCTCTCAAAAATAATGATAATCAAGAAAATTAAATAAATAATTCTTAAATGAGACCAGAAGATGTCATAATGGTTACATCACTGGACTCCCACATAGTTGACCATGGTTCAAGTCCCAGACCGGTGACTTAAAACTAGGCCGGGCACCTGTGCATGTGTGCCCCAAATCCTGAGAGAATGGAGGGGAAGGGATTGTCTTGTGACCAATCCCCTGAGGGAATGATTTCTTGGTTTCTGTCTCTCTGTCTCTCTGGTGAGTATCCATGCCCTGTAGCAAGAATCTCTTTTAAAAAAAAATCTTAGGGGACCAGCAGTTAGCGTAATGGCGAGCGCACGCGCCCTACAGCAAAAACCTCTCCAAAAAAAGAAAAAAAAATCTTAAAAAAAAAAAAAAGATGGAGGCCAGCCAATGGTGTCACGGCTTAGGCAGCTGGGTCCTGCATCTATGTGTGCTGGAACCAGCAGCTTGAAAAACATGCTGGAAATAGCCAGAGTAGTTGTGCAGTGAAAGCCAGAACCGGTTTACAAGAACCGCAGCAACTGCTGGGGGTTCTAGCAACTGCAGTCATGTCTAATATGTCCAAAACGGATGGGCCACCCCAGCCATGAGAGGGAAGAACTGTGTGGCCATCGCTGCAGACAGGCGCTTCAGAATCCAGGTGCAGGTGGTGACCACAGACTTTCAGAATATCTTTCCCATGGGTGACCGTCTGTACATCGGCCTGGCTGGGCTCACCACTGAAGTCCAGTTGCCCAGCACCTCAAGTTCCAGCTGAACCTGTATGAAGTGAAGGAGGGCTGGCAGATCAAGCCTGAACCCTCACGAGCATAGAGGCCAACCTCCTCTGTCAGACCACACTGAGCCAGGCACTGCTGGCTGGGCCCCGAAGACCTTTAAGCTCTTCATTTGCTCTCTGGACCTCCTCGGCTGCCCCATGGTGACTGATGTGGTCAGTGGCACCTGCTCCAAACCAGTGTACAGGGTGTGTGAGTCCCCGAGAGCCCAACATGACCCAGGATACCTGTTTGAAAACACCTCCCAGGCCATGCTGAATGCAGTAGACAGGACACAGTGTCTAGCAGGAGCGTTGTCATCCATGTCATTGAGGACAACATCATTACCAGGACACTGAAGGCCAGAATGGACTAGCCCTCTTTCCAAAACCCACTTTTGTTTGTTTGTTTTAAATAAAATAGCCTTTCTTTAAAGGGAAACAAAACAAAACAAAACAAAACATGGTGGGCCTATGTGCACGTGTGCCCGAAATCCCAAAAGGAGATGGAGAAGGGATTGCTCATGACTATCCCCTGTAGAGGGTGATTTCTCACTTCCTCTCTCTGACTCTCTTTCCAGTAAGTGTATGAGCACTCTGGCAAATGAAAAAAAAAAAAAAAATCTGAAGTTAAAAAAATAGAAAAATTGCCACAAATACCACTAACTACTGTAGCATTAACTAAGCATTGAAACCAAGCTTATAATTGCAAAGCTAAATCGATTTCTTGTCTCAAAATCAAGAATAACTGTAACTAAAAACTATAACCAACCTGATATGGGGTAATAAGGCATTTTCCAGCCTTCTATCTGTACTATAGGTAGACGTATTTAGCTCTATAAGTCTAACTACCACATACTAAATTTAAGAAGCCCTCACTCAGTAAGTTTCTTGGGTATAAAACCCTCTATTACAAACACAAATCTTTCACTTTTGAGGCAAATAGGGAGTGACAAGTGAGCCCCTCTTTTAACTGACTAGATGCCCTAACAAACGAGGAGCTATGGGTCATTCGGTACATGCATGGGGTCTTCCCTCCAAACTACACTCATGCCTCTAGCATGTGCATCGGTTTCAGATGGAGGGTTGGTACAATGTCTGTATTTGTAGATTGTCCTTAAAGGACCATGTCACTCCTAATACATGTCTTATAGATTAAACAAACACCAAAATAAAACATCAAAGTGGAAACTCACCATGCCTGGCTTCACAGGCAAACACCTGGCAATGGCTCAGGTGTACTTTTAATGTGGTAAAGCCCACTTGGCGTGATTAGTTTTCACGGTGTTTACAGATGCTGGGACAGAAGATGGACATGGCTGATGTCAAAATGGACTAGAAACCAACTTCTGGATGAACACCCATCAGTTACAGAAGCAATATTCTGTTACAGGAAGAACTGTTATAACAGTAATATAACAAGCTTTCGAAAAAAGGTAACTTACAAAAACGGGTACTAAATTAATGTTGAGACAGTCCAGAAACAAAATCAGTATTATATAAATTAATTTTATTAGAAAACTTAAAAAAACCAAACATATAATTTTCAGATTGAAGGCACACATCCCAAATAGCACAGGTAGAGCATCCCTAGTCTAAAAATGGGAAATCCAAAACGCCCCCAAAATCTGAAACGTGTTGAGTACTGACATAACACCAAGTGGAAATGTCCAAACCTGACCATCAAAACACTGTAATACAAAAATATTCTATAAAATGACCTTCGGGCTATATGGATCCTATCCCCAACATATATTGTGTATATACAAATATTCTATAATTAAAAATAATTTCCAAATCCAAACCCTTTCTGATCCTAAGCTCGTTGGATGAGGGATACTCATCCCCCTATTAGTTTAAATGGGGTTTTTCTTTGTTCCCCACCTACTCCTATCTATGCATCCCTCTGTGTCCTAAGACTTCTTCCTACATTCCGTTCTCACCTCCATTTTTTTTTTTTTTTTGCTATGGGGTGCATGTGCTCACCAGAAAGACAGAGACAGAGAGACAAAGTGAGAAATCATCCGCCGGCGGAATGGCCACACTGCAATCCCTCCCCCTCCATTTTCCTCTAGGATCTTGGATACACACGCCCGGCATGAGTTTAAGCCGCCAGGTCCAGGACTTGAACTGCAGTCAACTACATGGGAGTCCAGTGACATAGCCATTACGCCATCTGCTGGTCCCTCACCTACATTTCTTATCTATCCCTACTTCCGTCTTTGCTCCAGCCACACCCCAGCTCCAGTCCTGGTTAGTAAGATGGTGGAAGCAGGTGCATCCTCCTGCCCATGCAGTTCTCGGAGCCCAGTGGTGCTCACTGACTGGCTCCTGGCTGTAGGTAATGCCTTTTCTCCCCTGACCAGGGGCTTTGCCAGGGCCAGGACCACCAGTGACAACAGCTGTCTGTAGAATTCAGATTTTGCTTTAGAATGCTCCCAGGCTAATGTCAGCTGATCATAATGAACGTTAAGAATTCCAAAAGTGCTCACCTCGTTTTTCAGGCAAAGGACAACTGAGGGCTCAGTGGCAAGTGAGTAACCATGGCAGTCACTGTGTTTATCTGCACCAACGCAAGCTCACAACCCTAAATCACACCCATGTCATTTCTCGTTCGCTTGAAGAAGGAAACAAGGTCTCCTTTTCAGCTTCTGTTCAGTCTTGGTCCAATGATAAATGTTTTCTTTCCCCAAACCCACCCTGGAGCACGGGGGGTAACAAAAGCCAGTCAGCCTAACCTTTGATCTTTGCCAGTGCAAACCTAGAAGTACACGGGCTCCCATCTTTTGTATAATCTAACAGAAAATGAGAAAACTTTTTTTGGAATTCAAAACACATGAGTCACATTATAACATGCATGTGACTAAGCTGACGACGTGCGATTCTAACTGCTGTGTTAGCCAAGAGGGAAACGGGCAGGGCCTCGGTCACACCCACCCTCGCTCGTGGCTGCAGGATGCTCACACCTCAGCAGAAATGCAGGGTTCCCCAGCATGGAAACGCTCAACGGCAATGTCGTCTGTCAGTAGGGAGGTTAGGAGACCCTGAGGAGTGTTTGCAACCGATGGGTAAGTTCGTATTTATTCTTCAATGTCCTACAAAAAGCAGCTTGTCACTTCAAACCAGTCGTACCCTCGACACAAAGTTGAAATTCATTTATTTTCCGGGAAATACAGGCATCTAGGTCAGTAAGTTCAAATGCGCATGTTCCGTGTGAGCCTTCTATCCCGGGGCTCTGGTCTCCGGCAGCACCTCTCTGCAGCCTCACCACACGAAGGCCGCCCGCTCCCGCAGCATGCGCACGCCGAAGCGCTGCCACTCTCGCTGGTAGATCCACAGCTCCCGCGTCGTCGCCAAGCCGGC